CAGGATCAGGATCAGAAGCAGAATTGGCCATTTTCATGATATCATAGCCTTGGGCATTTCTAGACTGGCCAGTTCCTTTGATTTGTGAACAAAATGCACTCACCCAGAATATAATAATACCACACATCATCAACATGAAATTTAACATTACATGCAATTTACCTAAAATATTTATACTCAAAACTTCCAATTTTCTCCTAAAAGTAAGTAATACTCACGGACTTCAGCCAAAATTTCATAAGGGTAACTAAAGCAAAATTAGCATACATTTAAAAAATTTTTTCCTTTTAAACATATTAGTTATTTGACATTCCAATGCACTGTTATGGTAAGTAAAAGAGTAATAGATCCTTCAATAGCAAAATTATCTGTTTGTATCTAAGATCTCAATAGCAAATTATTCTTGGTTACACTGTCTTTTACTTATTTCTGACCTAAATGGAAACTTGACCTTAATATTAGGACTAAGGATCCATGGTTTAGTAGAAATTACCTTTTAAAAGTGTGGATGCTATATTGAATTCAAGCTAATTCTGTCTTTGTAAATAAGGAATGATTGCTTACTGTACAAAATAAGTTACTGAGAGTAAAAACTAACTAGAATAGTTTAATACTAAAACTAATAGAAACCAACATAGCAATAAAACTTTTTTAATCATAAAAAATTCAGTGAGAACTTTAGGTTTTATTAGTGAATAAATGAAAATACTTTGTAATATCTGAGATAGTTAACGTTGGTGTTAGACTTGAATAGACTTACACTATTATAATTGGTTTATTTGAATACGTAATTTTACATGTAATTCTAATTTTTCAGTCCACTGGGATTACATATTGCTCTGTTGAAAAAAATCTAGTTTTATTACACAAACTAAGCATATTCTCAGTAATGTTGTGGACTATATGAATTCTTTCTTAAATTTATGTCTTACTTACCCAAAAGTAAAGAATGTCAATTATATAATTATTGTGTGCCTTTCAGTGTCTATATTTTGACAAATAAGAGCATCCATGCTATTCTTCCCCTAAACCCAACTTAACAACCCAAACACCCAAGTGATAGGGAGCCTGAAAACATCGTACAGAATTTGTAGAAAAGTAACACTATGAAGATTTTAATTGCACGGATTCCTAAGGTACCTGTAACTAAAATTTGTTAGAAAAATGTTTTTGCGGTCTTCTAAAAATTTCACTAACATATTTGCATGAAACATAGATTTTCAACACTGGCTGAAAATCTTACCCTTCCAGAAATAAGGAGAATAAGAAGCCCCTTACTGCATATTTTAGAGAATTTTCACCAACAGAATTCATATAATTCTTAAACTTTGTCATGTTAAGATTTAGAATTTTTCTATTTCAAAATTTTTTGATTATACCAGTTATAAAGAAGCATTCTCTAATTTGATTCAATATTTAGAAACCATCTGAATTACTTAGAAGCAAAAATGAAAATGAATTAATTGTACTTTCAATAATAAAACAGATCACTTAACTATTCCTTGAAATGGTTTTGTTGCCTTGTTTTGGTTCTCTCATTTTTAAACCTTTTCTTTTCACAGTGGAGTCACTCAATTTTAGTAGCATGTTGGGCGTTGGTGAGGAGTTGGGTTGTGAAGAGAGAAGACATGACAACTGTGACAGACGAGGGCTCCACCAGCACCTCGGACACCACCGGGGTGAATAGAAGACTTGGGAAAGGGCTGCTGAATGAATAAATAAAACATGATTTTTTCAAACAACTTTCAAAAACTGAAAGTGCAACACTGTGACAGAGGTTCGTCTATTCAGGACTAACCACCACAGATTTGAGTGCTCATTTCACACTGGCCATTACGCTATAATGTTTTACACACACACACTGCTTAAAACATTTAGTATAGTGGCCAGTACAGAGCAAGGGTGTGTGTGAGCATGTATTCATGATAAGCTATCCAAATCAGAAATACAAGAGTTAAAGATTAGTAACTGCTAGAGTTAGCCTCCAATGTCAGGACCCTCAGACAACCAGCACTTGGGTTCAATAGACAACTCTCTGAAAAAAAAAAATGATGAGGGTGTTCCTGATTAAGCAAGTAAAGCCATAGGAGTTGTATTACCAACAACCACCAAGCAAGTCAGTAGTGAGTGTGGGGTTCACTGTGACGGTTCTTCTTGGCTACTCAGTGCTTCCACAGCACCTTGCACGGGTATCTGCTATAGCCGTCAGCACTTTACATTATAATTACTTACGCGACTGTATATCCCACCAGATCATGAGCTCCTTGACAGACTGACTGACTTTGGGGACGCCTGGGTGGCTCAGTTGTTGAGCGTCTGCCTTCGGCTCAGGTCATGATCCCAGGGTCCTAGGATCGAGCCCCGCATCGGGCTCCCTGCTCGGCCGGGAGCCTGCTTCTCCAGCTCCCACTCCCCCTGCTTGTGTTCCCTCTCTCGCTGTCTCTGTCTCTGTGTCAAATAAATAAATAAAATCTTTTAAAAAAGAGAGAGAGAGACTTTGTCATTCATAAATTCCCCTGGTATCTGGCATATTGTCTGCTGTGTGATGGGCATCCACTGAATTTTGGAAGAATGCCACTCTACATGGCAGTTCTTAAATTCTAGTGGATAAATATATTTTTTTCTTTAATTCTCTACAGTTGTGTATTTCAGAGAAGGTGCTTACCATTTGTAAATAGTCATAGTCCACAAAATGTTCTCCCAATAAAGTGAACTTCCTTCATTTTAATTTCAGTCCATGTATTCTGCCCCATAACATCTAATTACAATGTCTAATATGCCTAATTATGGTGCAAAGCTAGAAGCAGGACACCGAGGCAGGTTATCAGAATCTATCAGACCATTCGAGCACAGATATTCTTATAGTCTTGGCCGAAGCAGGAAATGTGTGGGGGATAAAAACCAGGATGCTACATCTTGACTCTGGAGTGTCTCGCCACTACTAGTCCCCAGCAGGGAAGGAGGCGGGCAGGGGCAGATAGCAGATCACAGAGTAGGTTTTGCGAAGCACAGTCCTCTGAGGACCCAGTATGGTGGATTCTCGCCCAGTTGGAGAGGGGTGCTGTATATCACAGCCTAGGGGTGGGTGGTAAAGATGTGGTTGGGTAACTTTCAGAGGCGATTATTTAAGGACAGTATCCCCGAGCCTACGTTGATAAACACCGGAGAGGACCTTACCAGAAAATGATCAGTGTAGTATCGCGAGTCTGAGATTGTCCTCAAATTTTAATACAAAGTTTCTATAGTCTCAAGAAGGATCTCTAATGTTCAACTTCAATCATAAACTATTGCTTTCACCCAAACATTAGCTCCCTTCAATTCTGGACATCCAAATTCTGCCCCTATGTCTATGTTATTAAAAGGTATGGCTCTAAAGGAAAAATGGATCAATGTCTTAATTCTCATTTGCATTTGATATGATGATGACCGCTATGAAAATATTTATAGAGGCTCTTTTTTAAAAAAAAAAATGAATAAATACCTTCTTGAAAACTTTACTTTATTAGAGAATCTAGCCCAAATGTGGAAAATTTAAAATCACTCTATTTACCAAAACTGGCTCACAATAAGCTTATTAGGAAAAAAAAAAAAAGAACAACAATGATCAGTAAATGCCTACACTTAACATTCTTAATTGTGGGATAATTTTAAGATCCATGTTGATGTACTTATAAGGTAAATCCCTCTGTTTAATAATAATAAAAAAATTCCCACATAACATTTTGTTTTTTACACTCATATACACATATAAAAGTTGGGAGACATGTCTTAGAAAAATGTTTATAATGGATATACATAATATTGTGAAATAAAATCTGAATAAAAATTTTATTCCAACAACATTTCTCTATTTTTAAATCATGTTTATTAAGTTTTTATCACAGTGGAGATTAATTTATGCTTAATCATCCAGTGAGTGCCTACCGTCAACTTCATCCAATTCCAAAAAAGTAAAGTCAACTCATTCATACACTCTAAGCTTGTTCCCATCCCACCATTCATTGCCTGTGTCTTTTTTCCCTTTTAACAGCAACATAATGATAAGATTGTGAAAAGGTATAACTAATAGGCTTATATGTAAAATACCATTTCTTCAAGTATTCAGAGAGCAGTACATTTGTCTGCATTGTACATTAGAAAACGATTTGTGACATTACTTCTAAGTAGAGGAGAGTGGCTCCTGGTGGGAGTGTAATGAAGTTGTATGTCATAGTGTATGACAAGGATTTACAGCATTCTAGAATTTTCACAACTCTTCCCATGTTAGTGTCATTAGGTGAACGTATGTTTCTAGTCTCAGCTGTCAGACATGGGATCTCCAACTACGAATAAATAAAGCATACACTCAACATGTGTAGTGCAAATGCTAAGTAAACAGAATGACATGGAATAAACTCATAGTTGCCAACTAATGAATGGTTCGGCCGGGAGGTCCTGATTTTATGATGTCCGTGACGTGCATCCCTATTCTCAAGTGAACACTGTCACTGTTCCGTGTCAGCCACAATGACTGGGAAACTCTACTGAGGTGGGGGGCGGGGGGGAAGAAGAGAAGAGGGAAGTAGAAACTCATTTTACAAGCAAGAGATACAATTTCTCTGTCACTTCTGTAAAACAGGTGAAGTCTGATCTGTTAACAAGATCTCAAACCTCTCAAAGAAGGTACCAGTATGGAGAACTGTAAATGTCCCATTTAATGAAGTGTTGGCACCTATGTAATATGGATTGTGTGGCCCAGACAACAAAAAGGATGAAGAAGATGTTTTTTAAAGTTAAAACTTTGGAAATATAACACCTGAACATTCAAAAATTACATTATAAAAAAACCATCAGTTACAAAAACATTCAAATAACGGCCCTGTTTAAAGATGCCACATAAGCAATAATCTTCAGTACTTTGAACAAAAGTCAGAGCTCTGTGGCTTTGTCTTAATTATGCATTTAATGCAATGTTATTTGAAAATGAAATAGAAGAAAAACTATAAAATTCTTCCAGAGGCAAATTATTGGTAGGGGGAGAACAAAAGTAAAATATGACAACCGATTTATACATTTACTTAATTGCATGTATTTTTCCCCCAGAAGTGTCCACAGCCTATAAGAAAAAGAAAACAAAAACATAAAGCAAAACAAAACAAAAAAACTAACACAAACAAAAAAAAAACCCAAAAAAGTATAAAAATGGTGCCATGTATCTTTTCATTTTCTCCCACTGCATTCAGTTTTGAGGGAAAAGTATTCTTTCAGGGTCAAGTGTTCTGAGTTCACATATATTAAATTCTAGAAAAGAAACATTTGGAGCCTGTCTTTCAAATTCATTCTTGAATGTGTTGCACCTTCAACAAATATGCCAAGCAGCCAGCTAAAAATTCTCTTAATTAGGAAACACACATACATACACACATACATGCAAACAAATAAATCTTTTTAAGAGAAAAGAAACCATTCCTCATTTGGGAAACACACATATCAAGATTCAAAACTAAGGTTTGACATGGTCACTTAATTGATTTAAATAATTAAGGCTTCTAAAAGGTTCAGTGCCAAAACTCTCTGTATCAGTATTCGAATAAAATACATTTTTGCATTTTAGGTTTGTGCTTTTTACAGCCATCTTAATTCCATAGAATTTTGTTAGTAAGATCAGATAAGGGAGTGTTAGAATTGTTTACCAACATTTTACTTTTAGTAGTTGTTAGACTAAATTATAGTGATAAAAATTCAATGAACAGATTTGTTACTATCCTGTGGGCTGTTGGCTCATTTCACCTTCTTTTCATGTTTAATATGGCCATTTCTTTTGTACTTGCCATTGAGGATTCCATTATGGTAATGTCCGTTAACTGTGCTATGCTTATTTCTAGACCACAAACTTTTGATTTTTCTGTAGATAAATTTTGTCACCCAGGACAAGAAGAAGTAGAACAAGGCAGCACCAAGCAAAAGCACAAAGGCAATATCCAGTAAAAAATACTGACAGAAAGAGATTTGATGGACAGCGGCACGTAGGTGATGGGCTCCGTTGTGACGAAGAATGTAATCTATCCAATAGACAGTCCGATTGACAGGGTGGCCAGGTTGATCCTTGTGGATTTCTGAAAGCTTCTGGGCCCTCTGACGGTAGCTATGGAGTGGAGAGGCAGAACACAGGATGATTATGTCAATACAAGGTTCAGTATTATGACTTTCTCAATATAAAAATGAGGAAAATAATAAAAGCAACTACTCTTTATTAAGTACCTAGTATGTGCCAAGCACTATGTTAAGTGCTTTAAACACAGTATCTTAGGTTAAGACAATAAAATAAATTTTAAACAAGTGAGGAAAAGGAACTCGAAGAGACTAAGTGACCTGATTATGATTACAAAGTTGAGATTCAGATTCAAGTGTTTCTGACTCTACACCCCAGTTTTACTGGTTTGGTTTTGTTTTTTGCTATACCATACCTCTTACCCACACATACTCCTTCTCTCAATATGCCTTTAAATACTATTAGCCAATGAGTCTCAACCAGGAAGCAGAGTGTATTTATTAGATTCTAAAAGAAAAAGATGAGGAAAAAGGCAGGATTTTGTCCCAACACCTTTTTTAAGCAATGAAATTTAACTTTGCTCTGATTTAAAATAACATTAAGTGAAGGTATGAGGTTATTTTACTTATTCAACAGAGGAAAAGGAGTTGAGATACACCACTATGAAGCCATCCATAGATGACATTATATGCAGTACATATATGTGTGTGTGCGTGTGCGTGTGTGTGTGTGTGTGTGTATAATGAAAATACCCTCTTAAATGGTTAATCTGAAATCAGAGTACTTCCATATACTTGAAGATTGCACAACTGGGATTTAATTGCTGTGTGACCTATGACTATAGCGTGGCCTCTGATTAGGCCTTATTTATATCTCAAAGAACACTGACAAAGGGATTATATGTGGATAATCCAGCCTTTTGCTTTTTTCTGTAGAACAAATCCAATCTCAGTGCAACCATCCCCCCCCATATACTCCACTTTAAGGCTATATTTTACAAACTTTTCTTAAAAAGCCTGTGAGATATATATCATTTTTCAGAAAATCATGAAATCTTGCAATCATGAAAATCTTGAAAAACACTCGACTTTAAAAGAAGAGCTACAGAACAGAGTTGTGATCAAGACACTGGATCCTTTAAGGGGTCAGAGCATGAAGGCTGCCTCTGAGCTCACATAAGGCAGCATAATGAACCCCAGTGCCCTTGAGAGTACAGCCTTTTATATGAAAGCTGCATCATTTTCTATGAAAGAATTTTTCTTCTTGTAGTTGTTTCTTAAGACTATGGCAATGCTTCTCAATCCAGTGTTAAGCCATATCCCAGGTATAAACAGAAAAAGCATATAGTCCTCCAAATTCTACTGTCATATGAAATGCAAGATCAATTAAATATCATGTAAAAATGGGAAAAACTGCTGCGTTGTTTTAAAACTACACAAGCCAGCTCTCTAGACCCTTTGAGACTCAGTGGTTAACTGGGTTAACTCAAGAAATCGAAGATTCTGATTAGTCATGCACCTGAGTAAATAAATCTCTGTGTTTCGGTGATACTTGTCCTAGGGAAACCCAGAACCAGTCACTACAAAGGGCACCAGCTTTGGAATCAAACAGTCCTGGTTCAAATTTCTACTCTAACAGCTGTGCAACTATGGGCAAATTACTTAAGCTCTCTGAGTTTCAAGTGCCTAATTTTTATTTTTTTTATTTTTTTATTTTACTTTTTAAAAGATTTTATTTATTCATTTGAGACACAAAGATACAGAGAGAGAGAGAGGGCATGAGCAGGGAGAGAGGCAGAGGCAGAGGGAGAGGGAGAAGCAGGCTCCCTGCTGAGCCAGGAGCCCGATGCGGGACTCGATCCCAGGACTCTGGGATCATGACCTGAGCCGAGGGCAGACGCTTAACCATCTGAGCCACCCAGGCGCCCCATCAAGTGCCTAATCTTTATAATGTGAATAATGAAAACAGCGATATACAGATATTATGAGTATTAAAATGAGACAAAGAACACAAAATTTGACACATTTTAGGCACCCGATGAATTGTTCCCACTGGAATTTCTCCTCCAATTCGGCAAATCCTGGTAGAATATTATTCCAGGTCATACATGGCTGGCCATATGATTGCTATCTTTATTTTCAAATTATAGAAGACATGCAGAAGGCATTAGACACAGGAATCTAAAGGATATTTGTATACTTGGTTTATTGACAACTTCTTGGTAATAATCAGTTTATTGACAATATGCTATGGTATATATATATTTCATCTGCTTTCATATTAATTGAAAACTTACCTGGGATTATTGATAACTTTCACCAGTGCTTCATATAGCTCTCCTTCAGTAACTGTCTTCCATTCTAGCAATATCCCCATGCCTTTTGCCTGGACCCGAGTCATAGTATCATAGTGGTCTCCAAAGAGTGGGATTCCCACTACAGGTACACCGTGATACATAGTTTCAAAAATACTATTCAAACCACCATGGCTCAGGAAGGCTTTAATATTTGAATGCCCTAAAGAAGGATTAAAAAAGAAAACAATTTAACAGTCCTGTGAATTACTCGAAAAAGAGATTTTCCAGAAATCTCTTAAAAGTCAACACTATAATAAATACACATTTTAGATACAGGATTTTTAAAGGCATGATTTCACTGATTCCTGCTCTACATCAATTAAAATGCTTATTATATAAATAATGAACTGATTTGTATATATTAGTTAAGAGCCATTTTTAAATCACTGAAATTTACAGCTTTAGGGAGTGTATTACAACTTTCCCTCAAAGGCAAGTATCAACTGACTAGCCACATCTATTTAAATGGCCAATAATAAATAGGAAGTCAACAAAAGCAAGAAATGCCAAAAATACCAGGGGAAACCACATTCTACTAAAAGTAGACATCCGGGGCGCCTGGGAGGCTCAGTCGGTTAAGCATCTGCCTTTAGCTCAGGTCATGATTCCAGGGTCTTGGGATCAAGCCCCACATCGGGCTCCTTGCTCAGCAGTAAGCCTGTTTCTCCCTCTCCCTCTGCCTGCAGCTTCCCCTGCTTGTGCTCTCTCTCTCTCTGTCAAATAAATAAATAAAAATCTTTTTTAAAAATAAAAATAAAAAAAATAAAAGTAGACATCCATTTCTGGATATCCAAGCATTTCTCTCTCTATATATATTTTGTTTTTTTAAAAGATTTTATTTATTTAATTGACAGAGAGAGAGAGAGAGAAACAGCGAGAGAGGGAACACAAGCAGGGGGAGTGGGAGAGGGAGAAGCAGGCTTCCTGCTGAGCAGGGAGCCGGATGTGGGGTTCGATCTCAGGACCCCGAGATCATGACCTGAGCCGAAGGCAGCCACTTAACCGACTGAGCCACCCAGGTGCCCTGGCATTTACCTATATTAATAAGTAGAACGCATTTTGTAAAAAAAAAAAAAAAAATGTTGAGATGTGGGGCTGGACTCCTGAAATCCATGAAGAGTTTATGTGCTTATCCAAGGAGGAACAGTGTACAGTACAAAGTATTTACAACATTCAAGTCATGTCAGCTCCTATGCTTCACAATTTTAGGGTCCAATTTCAGTTTGGGTATATAAACAAGTAGGAACTGACACTTATAAAAATCAGTTGTAAGCAATGGAACATCATGTAACATCTAGTTGTCATGGGGATAAAAGAAGATAATTTATCAAAATTAATGAGGTATTTCAAAACCCAGATCTCCTCCTGAGCAGCCTATGTTTCAGAAAGGGACCGAAAGCCTTGTATAAGAAGTATAGGACAAAGAAACACTGCACTTAGGGAGTGTGTGCCATGGCCAGAAAGGAACTACAGCTCATAGAAACAAACCTTTTCAATATCCATACACCGGGTACAAAACGGACTCTGGGTGTTGAACCTTGGTCTCAACTGGGCACCAGGATCCTCTTTACCGCCCGTCTAGCGGGGTTAGTCACTCAGTGTCACCTTTGCCTACAAGTGGCTTCTCAACTCAGCCCGCCTAATGGCCCTGCCCTCTCAGTGCAATTCAAACTTTCTTTTTAGCAGCAAAACCTTTTCTTTGAACAAAACCTTACTACCAAGCCCAGCAGTGACAATGAGACAGTGCTGGTGGGGGGAGGGCAGGGGGGGCAGCATGGAAGGAAAGGAGGGGAAAGAGAGTGCTTCAGTTCCTACTTCTCATCCTGGAGGAATCTTCTGATCAGGGTTAACAGCCAACAGAGGACCCGCAAAGTCATACCTGGTGATAAGAAGGACACTAATCTCGGCAAAGGCAGAGAACTGAGATTCTGAGGAACCCGGAAGAGCTATGAATTTGAGGAGGACCAGTGGGTGCGGACCACTGAGCAGCTACACCTTGCTGCTGTACAGCCTCTCAGAAAAAAACCGCGAGAACAGTTCAGATGTTCTCCGATAGCGGAATCACACTGTGGCACTGAAAGAGTTGACAGGCAATTATCTTATTTAAATTTCCTGCTTCTTTCTACCTTCTACTGAATCCGAAGTCATAATAGTCAAGACATAAAAAAAAAAAGAAAATGAAATACAAGTATTAAGAAAAGTAAATTGCCCTGTTTCTTCTTCAGTTTTGTCATTTATAGAATCATATATATAATGAACTAGATGAAAAGGAATTATGTATATATAAAGAAAATTCCTCAGTTTCTTAGTTATAACATTCAATTTGCTGTTTTTTAGGATGGGTCATTTTATAGCTTCTAAAAAATAATTTTCAAAAGCCTATTTTTAAGAACATTATTTAGAGCCACTTACATACCTCACTGTTTTTCAGTTACAAAATTCAATTTGCTGGTTTTTAGGACGGGTCACTGTAGCTTCTAAAAAATACTTTTCAAAAGCCTATTTTTAAGAGTATTGTTTAAAGACAACTTACATATCTGTTAGATTTTAGTATTATTGAACAGATGATGGTCAACATTACCAAAACTCAATAACATTTTTATTATTTCCTTAATATCTTAAAGGATAATATGGCATCATGTTTTCCTAGATATTTAATGAAATTACAGTTTTACTAACTATGCTCATTTAACACAGAGTTAAATTACTTATTTCAAATATCTTAAAAGAAATGCATATAATTGTTATTTTAGTTTTTATCTGAGGATCAGAATCCCAATAAATAACTAAATCATGAGTTTATTTAATAAAATGTTTCACAAATGTGTAGTGATTTAAGGGGAAATCTAAACAGACGAACCAAATAAAGATAAGACAAATTGACTGTTTCCTTGGCCTTCTGCTTCTCTTTGGTTTCAAACAAATGAATAACTTTGAATTTTTCTGAGTTCTCAGATACACCTGTAATAAAACTCTAACACAAATCTACATTTTCACTGTTTTAATTTTACTATTTTTAGCTGCTTAGTCTAATCAGGTATAACTTTATTCACTGCTAGTTTACACAGGTTATTAAGTATATTTTCCAGAAAATTAAAATTAGTGACTGGTCTAAAAATTTTAATTTATAGACCCAAATGATTCTACTTGACAAATTATTTTCCAGTAAATAAAGATCTGACTTGTTGGTTTGAAATCTGAGATACTGGATGACATAATGACTCTCTCATAAACTACACACATTATTACAGAAGACATTCAAGTGCAAAAATCACATTTACACTATTAAGATCTAAAAGCCAAGTAAGTACCTACATGTCACTGACTTACCAAGCAGGTCATTTTGTGGTAACCATTCTATGAGCTTCGTGTTGTTTCCTAGATTCTTTGGTTTGGTTCCAGAAAACCTAAAATGTACATCAGACAATGAATCTATCAAAAATCGAATTTTACTCCTGGTACGGACTCTGGTTAAATTATTAAATTTAAAATAAACGTTGAATGATCTTTTGTTGATATCTTAAGAAGGAAACCATGCTTTAGTAACAACAAAATTGTGATTTTCTTTTTCACATTTTCACTGATTGAGAGACATCTAAAAACAAAACAAAACAAAAAACACAAAAAAACACTTGGCTTGTCTTTTTCCGCCATCTCGGAGCCTGTGGCGGCCTGCTGGGAATAGGACTCCTATAATGCCAAATAATGTCTGGAAGGCTGTGGTCCAAAGCCATTTTTGCTGTCTATGAGCGGGGTTTCCGGAACCAGAGGAAGCACACAGCTCTTCTTAAAATCGAAGGTGTTTATGCTATGAATTCTATCTAGGCAAGAGATGTGCTTTTGTGTACAAAGCAAAGAACAACACAGCGACTCCTGGTGGCACAACAAACAAAACCAGAGGAATCTGGGGAAAAGTAACTCGTGTTCAGGGAAACAGTGTAATGGTTCGTGCCAAATTCCGAAGCAACCTTCCTGCTAAAGCCACTGGCCACAGAATCCGTGTGAGGCTGTGGATTTAAATTTAATCAAGGATTTAAATTTAATGAAAAGTAAATAAATAAAGGTGTAGATCTGTTCTCTTTAAAAATAAATAAATAAACAAAAAAGACACTTGGCTTATATTGAGATCTATTTTCCTTCAGTTCTCACCCAATTACAGAGATGGGGGTGACTTTCTGTGCTAGAAAGTCACTCTCCAGAGAACCCAGAAGGAGAAATGCGAAGCAGGGAGAGTCACACTGGGCAGTGGATGGATAGCTTCAGTCTCTGACACCTGGAGCCTGAGGGAAGGTGTGAGAATCGAAAGAAAGCAGAAAGTACTCTTCTCTAGCTTGGCCCCAGAGACAGGAGTTCTGTGGGGCGAAGGATATCACTAAGCGGTTTCTTGCCTTGATCTTTGCAAGATAAACCATGAACATGCTTAAGGCCTGAGGGAGGGGCAAGAGTCTGAACTGAGCAGACACAAACTGCCCTAAATAAAGCAGAAGGGTGCTTTCTAGGTTAAGCCTAATAGAGGAAACGCAATCAGACTGGCATCCAAAGGAAAATGTCTTAAACAGTGGGGATAAAGTATGTATCCATTTCATAGCTCAGCCAGGAAAAGTGGGAGCTAATCTTTACACAGCTGTTACAAAGGAAAAACCCATGTTACTCAGACCCTACTTGTAATGGCCTGAGCCTTCAGGGCCGATGTTGTTCACTGCAGTATTCCTGGAGCCCAACGGCAACGGCATTCAGGTCTGCTGTTTACATGCTGGGTTGGCAAGTCCAGAGACAGACACTTCTTGGCAGGGCCTTCCAAAGGAAGCTGGGCGTAATCTATGGATCTGTTTTAACCAGCATTAACTGGCAAGTTATTGTGTTTTTAAAAACCTGGTCTCTTGGATAAACGAAATAAAAAGCATTTATAGAGGGCAAAAGGTTCCATGAAATATTTTACCTGTTTAGTCATTCATCCATCATTCTTTACCTCATTCCAACACTGATTTGAAGGTATACAGAAGGTATCTAGAAATGCATGTAATTACAACAATTTTTTAAAATGACAATAACTAACAAGGAGAAACAGAATATAAAGCTGAGGATAACATAAAAGGATAAGGAGATAAATCATTCTGCATCATATTTTCCTTGTAGGCTATAGACTTGCTATCTCTTTCTTTATCCATCACAGAGTCTTAGAAATTAGTCCCTAGATTTCAACACACTAAGAAACAAAATGAAAAGTCAGGGACATCCTGCTAATCTTGCCAGGGAGCCAGTGTGCTGTGCTTGATGGGGACCTGCAGGATAAGCAAGGAGATACTGAAAATCAACAGTGAAGAAAATCGACATTATTACCTTACCTCCAAATCACTTTTTGGGGTAATCTCCCCAGAGCTCCAGCCAGTTTGTTGGCAATGTCTTCTGACAGATACTTGACACCAGCTCCGAAAGACACCAGGACAAAGCCATGTTCATTAGCACCATTTACCCACCTTTGGAGATCCTACAAATCAAAATGTAGCAGTTAATTTTATGAAAGACCAATATAGTTCATAATCAGCTTCCACAAGAGCCCAGTCTTTAAAAAGACTTCAGGTAATTTTCTTAAACCATTAGGAAGTTAAGGACATAATAACTGCTTTTGTTTAAAATATTTCATCTGACAACACTAACTGAAATAAGGAGGGTGGATGGCTAATTTAGTAAGACCAACAAATAACAATAACAAAAAATCTGTAGCTAATGGCCTAAGATCTCAGTCAAAAAATTGAAACTGATGTTTAAAACACGGTCAGTAATAAATTTGTATAAGGAGGGCGCCTGGGTGGCTCAGTGCGTGAAGCGTCTGCCTTCGGCTCAGGTCAAGATCTCAGGGTCCTGGGATCAAGTCCGGCATCAGACTCCTTGCTCAGCGGGGAGTCTGCTTGTCCCTCTCTGTCTGCCTGCCGCCCCACTCCTGCTTGTGCTCTCTCTCTCTCCCATAAATAAATAAAATCTTTAAAAAAATTTTTGTATGAGGATACAAGTGAAAGATGTGGATTGGACATAAAACAAAAACATTAACTACCACCCTCACCCCCACCCAGGAAGATTTTTGTTTTTAGGAGTGGGCTAACTTTATCTTGGTCTAAGCTTGGTAATTTTCATCTGGTGAAGAGTCATCCCGTGTTGTATGATAAGACAGAGAAGGAGTTAGCTAATAGTGCCACAGATCCATAAGCCTAATGAGTTTTACTATTTCCCTAAATATTTCTCCAACTCACAGAGAACACAAGTCATACATGCTATATAGTGAGGCATCCAGGGCTTCTAGAAATCCCTGAATGGTTGCTCTCCCTCATGGTGCGGGAAAATGCTAAATTCCCAAACCTCTCCTTAGACAGCCAACAGATGCTCATGTAACTCGTGCAGATCCGAGGTTAGGTAGTGACAACTCTAACACTGCAGGAATCACTCATTTTGGAGGAAAGACACAAGGACAAATTTTTGCCAGTATGGTTGATTTATACAGAAAATGAAAACAGTAAGTTTTAAGGGATACTATCCTGGCTTTATTTTATTCTGTAAGCACAAACTTGCTTTTATGGTACGTTAACCCCTTGAATAAGTCTTTGTCAAAGACACTGAGCTTCAGTTTCCCGTATGAAAACTAACAGAGCCACAGCACTTTGAGGAACACGTAATTCCACCGTAAGGAACACAAACGTGCTGTTGACAACACCTTTGCCATGATACAGGCATGAAAACAGGGGACAGACCACTCTGTATTCATGATGTGAAGAGTGAGCTGTCACAGTTAGGTCTCACGGACCCTGCAGGTCTCTCATTCAGGATGAATGAGTTACTACGGTGTCACCCATGTTCTTTGCATTTCACACCCCTTTTCTGACATACCCTGATTTATTGAAGGGGGAGTGGGGTGATCACTGAACAGTAAGAAGAACTGTCACAATGACATCACCACCCAGCTCAACACCAAGTATTTATATGGAACATTAGCGCCCCCCCCACCACGTCTTCCTTTCCTTTGCTTTTCCCCCTTTTCTTTTATCACTTAATGAGATCTGTATTAACAACTCTATTGTACTCATTCTTAGCAGGGAAGAGGGAGCCACATTTTATTTGTGTCCAAAATGAGTTAGTGGGTAGTGTCTCTAGATGACTGGGATGATGATGGAAGGAGGTACACCCTTCTAGCTACTGAGTAGGTAAAATAGGCTGTGATTATTGATACAGCTTTCAATTTACATTCTACTACATTTACCAAGAATATCACATGTACTGAAAATATAACAGTATTATCTGTAGATTCAAAGTAAGAAATAAGAACAAACTGATTTAAAATTTTCATTTTAGATACAGCCCTAAGCCAAATGTACTTAAAACAAATATGAATGCTGCACAGTAGAATGACTCCAATACTACATTTTATCCCTATGGTTTGTCTTCAAGTAATTTATCACCTACTACCCAGTTCTCTAAAGATTAAAATTTCAGGGTCAATGCCATTTTTAAAAAAAGCTGACATTCACATATACTATAAGCCTTACAATAATAATGTTATTTAAATTTTGTTTCCCAAGGACTTAAAAGGTCTTTGAGTTTCAACTGACTCTATGCAATAAATACTTCAGTTATTTGTTCTTTGTTTTGCATGGCATAAAATAAAATCCATTAAGCTATTTTCCTAGATTTTTTCCAGCCATACTCATTAGCCATTTACAAGAATATATTCAACCATCTAGCCTTCATTGATAAGAAAGGGAGTAGAGAAAATGTTAGTCATTATAGTTCCCTTCAGGAAAAGCGCTCAGCATTTTTAGAAGATAATACTCCAATTGGCTTAGAATGAGGCCTCAAGGTGATTTCCAAACTGCTCTTCCCTGGGCTGGAGGGAGAGGGGACGTGAGAAGAGACAGTGAGCCTGACACTGGGCTCCTGGACGTAACCCATGAGAGCTCCCTCGTGAGCTCTCATCTTCACCTTAAATTCACAAAACGTTTGGTGTGACTTATGTTTTATGGGAACACAGAAGGGGTTGGGTTTTGGGTTTGGCTGACAAGCGTGCCAGGCAGCAGGACAAGCTGCAGCAGGCAAAGGCTGAAGGGATCCCGAACGTGCTGAATCACGGTGAAGACTTGGGAACCAGAACTTCATGAAAAGTATGCCTGGCTCTCCAAAGGGCTGAGAGGCCCAGGGGGCATCTTGCCTCTATATACATATGCAGTATTTTCTGGAATTTAAGACCCCGCAATTATAAAGTGCAAATTGATTTAATAACAACTCTTCAAAAAAATAGTAATAACCTTCATAATAAATGTGTTCAATATAAGAAAAAAAAACAATTCTGGATATTTAACACTGTCAAAGATAAAGGTACTTTAGGGGGTGCCTCGGTGGCTCAGTCGGTTAAGCGGCTGCCTTCAGCTAAGGTCATGATCCTGGGGTCCTGGGATCAATCCCCACATCCGGCTCCCTGCTCAGCAGGGAGCCTGCTTCTCCCTCTCCATCTGCCTGCCACTCTGCCTACTTGTGTTCTTTCTCTCTCTGTCAAATAAATAAATAAAATACTTTAAATAAAGGTACTTTAGAATGGTCTGCCCCCCTGACAAATACCAGGTAAAAATACAGAGTAAAAAAAAACCTCATTTACAATATCAACAAAAACTATATATATCTAAGAGTAGAGTAAGCCTAACAAAATACACAAGATGTACATAAAGAAAAATTTACTGAAGGACAAAAAAGAAAAACTGAGGAAGTGGAGATGTAACATGTGCCAGAAAAGAAACATCAATGTTCTGAAGATGCTATTTTTTTAGTAAAATTTTTATTTTTATAGTAAATTTTTTAGTAAAATTTTTATTAAAATAAATTTTATAAAATATAATATTTATAAAATAAAAATTTTTAATAAAAGTTCAATGCATTCCCCACCTACATTCCGAGAGGACTGCTACAGAACTAAAGCAGAGTCTAAAATTCATTTGGAAAAGAAAGTGTACAAGAAAGGCCAAGAAGATTTTTGAAAAAGAACGGGGAAAGAGAGTTCTCCTTCTAGATAATCAGAATGCACTCTAGAATCTAGAGCCATCTCTATGAAATGTTCAGTTTTAGGAGAAGAGACAGCAATTAAGGGGGCAGCAGAGCCAGACCCCTGCCTACACAGGAACCAAGCATTTCCATCAGGGGGGAGAAGAGTCACCTACCACGGATTTAGAAAAAATGAGGTTAGATCCTTCTACTAATATAAATTACAGAAGGAGTAAAAAGTCAAAATGAATTAAAATATATGAAATACTTGAAAAAACAGTACTTTTATTGTTTCTGGGTGTGGAAGGCCTTCCTGGGCCAGTCACAAATCCCAGAAGTCATAAAGAAAACACTGAGGGGGCACCTGGGTGGCTCAGTAAGTTAAGCATCTGCCTTCAGCTCAGGTCATGATCCCGGGGTCCTAGGATCAAGTTCCACACAGGGCTTCCTGCTCAGCAGGGAGTCTGCTTCTCCCTCTGCCTGCCGCTTCCCCTGCTTGTGTGCTCTCTTTCTCTCTCTCTGACAAATAAATAAATAAAATCTTTTTAAAAAAATAAAAAAGCAAAATAATAGTAATAAATAGGTGCAGAAATATTTTCAATATACATAATAAAAGACTGATAAAACAATGAGAAAAAAATTTCCACAAAGTACTTCAGGAAACACCCATTTCACAGATGGAAAGCAAGTGGCATTCACATGGAAAGACACTTAGTTTCACATGCTAGCCAGAGAAACACAAATTCAAACTGTTTTCATCTCTTATTCTCTGTAGTCTCTACACTCCTCTATTACATGGTGTCAACATATAATTTAATCCATTTTAACTTAAAAAAAAAAACAACTGAATACAGCATTTACCCTTAAGTATTACTGTTTTATAATTTTCTGTCAACTTTTTTGTTTTGCCATAAAGATAAAATGTCTTTTCCTAAATGGCCTCTTGATCTATTGACTTTGTTAGCACTTTTCCCACATTAAGATTATCTTTTAAATTCCTATACACCAACAACAAGACAGAAGAGAGACAAATTAAGGGGTCGATCCCATTTACAACTGCACCCAAAACCATAAGATACCTAGGAATAAATCTAACCAAAGAGGCAAAGGATCTGTACTCAGAAAACTATAAAAT